CATCTCTATTAGTGATCTCATTATTCAAACTCTTGCTAGTCTGGATAATGAGTACAATGCAATTGTGGTAGAACTCTTTGATAAGTCAGACATTACGTGGGTTGACCTATAAGCTTAATTGTTGGGTTATGAAAATAGACTTGAACAACTAAACAAATTCTCCAACCTAGCCATCATCTTGACAACAAATCTTGCAACTCGATCAAAATTTAAGGGGAACAAATCATGGCAACAAGAGGGAAGCAAATCATCAACCCGAGGCAACTAAAGAGGAAGCAACGAGATAGGATCTAGAGGTGGACGAGGAAAAAGAAAAAACTTCAACAATAAACTTATGTGTCAAGTTTACAACAAAACAGGGCATACAACGACGCATTATTTTTACAAGTTTGACAAAAATTACATGGGCTACCCATCAGATGAGAACAGACAAGACAAAAATCATCATGCACTCGTTGCCTCACCAAACTCGGTTTGTGATTTTGATTCGTAATTTGATAGTAGAGTTAGCAACCATGTGACCTATGATTTAGACCAATTTCAAGAGATTTCTGATCATGATGGTAAGAGTACATTGACAGTAGGTAATGGTGAGAAACTAAAAATTCTAGCTTCGGGATCTACTATCCTTAACACCAATCAAAAGCGTTTAAATTTGCATGAAATGTTATATGTTTCAGAAATCACTAAGAACCTGTTAAGTGTTTCTAAACTCACTACTGAAAAAAATAATTTTGTGGAATTTCATTCAAATCATTGCTTTGTGAAGGATAAGGTGACATGGAGAGTTCTAGTGCAAGGGACAATTAATGATGGTCTCTACTAGTTGAATAAAAGTTGGCGCAGGAGACTAGGACATCCAAGCAGCAAGATCTTAGAGCAAGTTCTAAAGAATTGGAATATAAAAGTTCCCTCTAAAGACTCGTTATCTTTTTGTGAAGCATGCCAATTTGGCAAATCTCATCTTTTGCCCTTCAAAAGTTCAATTTCTCGAGCTAAAAAACCATTAGATTTAATTCATACTGATGTATGGGGTCCTGCACCCATAAGTTCATCTAGTGGTTTCAGATACTATGTACATTTTCTTAATGATTTCAACAAATTTACTTGGACTTTCCCTCTTAAACAAAAGTCTGATGTGTTACAAAATTTATGCAATTTAAAAGTATGGTTAAAAATCAATTTAATAGGAAAATTAAGTTTTTGCAATGTGATGGTGGTGGAGAATATAAAGCATTAGAAAAACTAATCCAAGAATGTGGAATTCAATTGGGGATGTCGTGTCAATATACTTCAGCCCAAAATGGTCAAGTAGAAAGGAAGCACAGACATGTAGTTGAATTGGGTTTGACCTTGCTTTCACAAGCTAAAATGCCACTGCATTTCTGGTGGGAAGCTTTCTCCATAGCAGTATTCCTCGTCAACAGGCTACCTTCACCTGTGATCAACAATTAAAATCCATTTTTTCTCTTGTTCAATAATGAGCTTGATTATAATAGTCTTAATCGATCCCTTTGATTGTGCTTGTTATCCATGCCTTAAACCGTATAACAAAAATAAGCTCCAATTTCATACAGCAAAGTGTGTTTATAGGGTATAGCAACACTCATAAAGGATATAAATGTATCAACTCCACTGATAGAGTGTTTGTTTCAAGGTATGTTATGTTTAATAAGGATTCTTTTCCTTTTCATGATGGCTTTATTAACACCAAACAACTTGTTGAATTGACAGTAAAGACTGCTACATTTTTTTTAACCACATGTGCTTGTAGGTAATTATGGAGAACAAACAATAACTAGGCAAGAACAAGCTGCAACCAACACTGACAACGAAACCTCCAACAATGAAAGCAACACCCAGAATTAGCAATCAATAAGAGATTGTTCCAACCACCTTTCCAACAAATCAGCAACACCTTGAAGAATATCATAATGAATCCTCACAACAGGAAACAAATCAAGATACATTAACAAATGCAGACAATAAAGCCACCTCAAACAATAGACATGGAATGTACACTAGGAGTAAAGCAAGGATTTTCAAGCCCAAGGAACCATATGTAGGTGCTGTCCAAAAAGAAGATGATGACAAAGAACCAAAAACAACTACAGAGACAAGAATGGAAAGAAGCAATGCTGGCTAAAATTGAAGCTCTTATGACAAATAAAACATGGATATTGGTACCGTATGAGGGTCAAAAAAGCTCATTGACTAAAAGTGGATCTTCAAAACAAAGTACAAGGCAGATGGAACATTGGAAAGAAGGAAAGGAAGATTGGTTACCAAAGGTTTTTAGCAATATGCAGGCATAGACTACAAAAAGACCTTCAGTCTAGTAATCAAGGCCAACATAATTCAGATAATTATAACAATTACAGTGTTTTTCCACTGGGAGGTGAGACAAATGGATATCAATAATGCCTTTTTAAATGGCTTCCTTAAAGAAAATGTCTTCATGCACCAACCTAAAGGCTTCATTAATACTAATAGGCCAAATCATGTTTGCAAACTCATAAAGGCAATCTATGGATTGAAGCAAGCGCCAAGGGCCTGGTTTGACAAGCTTAGGTCTGCTCTACTTGATTGGGGCTTTCAAAACATAAAGATTGATTCATCATTATTCTTCCTCAAAGACAAGAACCACATCACTTTTCTCATGATATATGTGGATGATATCATCATAATAGGAAGCAACTCAAAATTTGTAGAAGCCTTCATCAAACAACTCAACAAAACCTTTGCTTTTAAAGACCTTGGAAAACTCCATTATTTTCTTGGGATTGAAGTGAGTAGAGATACTAGAGGCATGTATCTCAAGCAAAGCAAATATATTTCAAATCTATTGAAGAAATTCAGCATGGAGAGTTCTTCTTCTTGTCCCACACCAATGATCACATGGAAAGACTTTACTGCAAATAGTGAATTAATGAATAATCCCAGTCTTTTCTGCAAAGCTATTGGTGCACTCCAATATTTGACTAACACAAGACCAGGCATCACATATTCTATTAATAAATTAAGTCAATATTTGAGCTCTCCCACAGTACTACATTGGCAAGGTTTAAAAAGAGTACTTAGATACTTGCAAGGCACTCAAAACTTCTACTTACACATCAAACCAACTACTGATCTTGACCTCACTGGATTCTCAAATGTTGATTGGGCAACCAGTCTTGATGATAAAAAATCAATTGCAGGTCTTTATGTCTACTTTGGAGAAACACTAATCACTTGGTCATCTAAAAAGCAAAAGGTAGTGTCAAGGTCTAGCACCAAATTTGAGTATCGAGCACTAATTGACTTAGCAGTAGAAATCTCTTGGATAAAATCATTATTGCAAAAGATTAAATTGTCCATACCAAGAACTCCAACACTGTGGTGCGACAACTTCAGTGTCAAAGCACTTGCTTCCAACCTAGTAATGCATGCAAGATGAAAACATATTGAGGTGGATGTAGACTTTATTCGAGATAAGGCGCTGAAGAATCAGATTAAAATTGCCTATGTCCCATCAACATATCAAATTGCTGACTATCTTATTAAGCTTTTCACGCATACTCAGTTTAATCAACTTAGAGACAAACTTGGAGTGATTGCAGCACCGACAAGTTTAAGGGGGCAGGGGGCGGGGGGAGGAAGTTAAAGGATAAGAAATCCTTAGTTGGTTCATAACCATAAATGGTGCAGTATATCTATAAATGTGGTAACAATCCCATAAGTGAGGCAATCCCAATATGATAGAATTTTAAATATTATATGTAACATATTTCTATCATAATTAGACCACAAATTTAGAGATGAAATTAGTTAGCATTGTATCTATAAATAATAAGGCTCTCTACCTCTACACTACAACAAAGAAATACAATATACTTTCATTCCTTTTTTGTCTGCTCCTATTTTCTATCTAGTATATGGAATTATACTTTTTTTATATTAAATTATATTTTTAAGATATAATTTAATCTTTTAATATTTAAATATATGTTTAATATTATCTTTTCATTTAAATTGACATTAACTACGTCAATAAAATAAGATAAAAAAGAATATTAAATATTCTTTTAAAATTAAAAAATCAAACTGAATATTTTAAAAATATTAAGATCAAATTAAATATTTTAAAAATAATAAAACTAAATTGAGGAAACATTTATCAAATATTTTTTTTAAAAAAAATTAATTTTTTTTAACTTACCTTAATAAGATCATGATAACAAATTCCTTATGGGTGCTATCCTGTTTTCTCCTTCATATTGCTCCAGTTAACACATTCGTAAGAATTTTTTACATAAATAATATTTAAAAAAAAAATTACAAAAGTAACATATGTGCAACATTATTTACTCAACTAGAACTAATCATCGTTCATGTTTAGAATTCGGTTCCCGGGAAACCGAATTCTGAGCTTCAATATATTTATTTTTTACAACTCAGAATTCGATTCCTCGGGAACCGAATTCTGAGTTGTTTTAATTTTTTTTTTTTTTACATTTGTGGCCCAGTCTGTGCAAGTTTTGGAAGTGGAATGGGCCGTTCTGGAAGCAAAACGACTCGTTCTGCTTAAACACTTAGAGTGTTTTTTCTAAAATTGGAACGACCCGTTCTAATTTTAAAAAAAGCACTCTAAGTGTTTAAGCAGAATGGGCCGTTCTGCTTTCGAAACGGCCCGTTCCACTTCCAGCATTCGCCCAAAATGGGCCACAAACGCGAAAAAAAAAAAATAAAACAACTCAGAATTTGATTCCCCGAGAACCGAATTATGAGTTGTAAAAAAAAAAATATATTGAAGCTCAGAATTCGATTCTCCGAAAATCAAATTCTGAGCATGAACAGTGGTTGATTCTAGTTAGGTAAATAATGTTGCATGTTATTTTAGTAAATTTTTTTTAAAAAAAATTTATTTACATAAAAAATTCCATTCGTAATCCTCTTTATATTTTCAATTCCTTTAATTTCAAGTGAATTTTCTCTTTCTCTCCTTTTACCCTAATTGAGTAGTGTCCTTATATATATATATACTGCCATACTGGATGCTTCTGATGAATAGAAGAGGAAGAGGAGGAAAAAAAAGCTTACAATGAGCATCTATTTGAGTCGATTATTTCCAAGATCTAATTCCAGTTTATTTTTATGTAGTGGAAAGGGCTTACAATCAGAAGTTTTACGCTTAGGGAAAGAAACGTTCTTGGTGGATGCAGGACCTGGGACCCCCAAAATTTGTATGCAAGATGAGCTTACAGGAGTGCCAATCAACGGAGCCACCAGGTTTGAGAATAAGGTGGGATACCTGGATGTAGTGGCCGGTGAATCACTGATCAAAAAGAAGATTTTGGAGAGATTCTTCATCGATCTAGTGGCGGGCGAATCACTGATGAAAGAGCGAGCAGCCGCCAGGTTTAATGATTTGGTGGGATCCACAGATGTAGTGCCTGGTGAACCGCTTCTTCTTCTTCCACGAAGATTCAGACAAAACCTAGCTTGGATGGAACTCAACAAGATTTGGCGAACCAATACAAAGGTAAAAGGCTTTATTATTGACAAAGTAAAAAGGGGAGGTTATTCAGTAGCCATCGCGGGTTTCATTACTTTTCTTCCATTCCGTTCTTACATCAAAAGAAGAAGGGAAAAGATATCCAATGATCGATTCACCATTCAGAGCATTAACCCCAAAAGGACGAATATTGTGGTGTTCTAACAGCGGCAGATCAATTTTAGATCTTTAGGTTGAATTTTATTGATAAGTTTTTGGATGATGAATTTCATCACCTAGGATTTTCTGGATTATGTTTTTTGTGTTTCATTCTTCATTTTTTTTCTTCTTTCAAAAGTTTCAGAATGTTCATTATTTCAAGTTTATGCTTCTGGGTTATGCTTTTTTTTGGATTATGTTTGTGGACTGACATATTTTTTATCTTCTCATTGTGTATTTTATTTAGTTGTTATCTTGTACTTGACTACACTCTCATTTTCTATTTGTCACATGACCTCCCACATGTTCTGCTTTGATCTCAACTCACACATAACATGCTTTTTTTTTTTTTGTTTAAATATGGATTTTAATTTTATTCTAGAGAAGAATTTATTGCAGATTTTAAGTGCATACTTTTTAGTTGTTCGTTGTTTCATTGTAAGATATTATGTTTATACTTTATATATATATATATATATATATATATATGGGTTATAATTACGTCAATGTAACTTTTACTAAATATTATAACCGTTAAATAACTTTTACTAATTACTAAATATTATACCACTCAATAATTTTATGCCTGAGTGCTTCCGAAATTCCTCTAGTACTACAGTAAAATGAGGTGTCAATGTCCTAAATTGTCAAAAGGTGAGCATTGAAGTTTTGGTTGGCCTGGATGTATGAAAAGGTTGAACTCCCCTAGAATGCGCAACATGAGTTGACCACATTCCAAAAGGAGAAGTTGAATCTTTTGAAGAATTAGAGAAATTCGACTTCCACGTTGGGTCCTAATCTAACAGCTTGGTACTTGATTGTTACTACTTAATTAGTTGTCATAGCTTGGCACTTAATCATCAAAGGAGAGTCATTTCTTCCTCATGAAACTTTTGTTGCTGTTCGCTTTGTGTTTTTCATTGCTTCAATTCTTGCTGCAACTTTGTTAACATTTGGTCATTGTTTGGCATTCCATAATGCCTGCTTGGTAAAGTTCTTGTTCCAACTATTGTCTCAATTTGGTAAAGTCCCTAGGAAAGATTTTTTTACAACCCTACAATGGAGGCCAAATGTTCTTACTAAGAAATGAATGCAAGAAGTCTTCAATTGGAAGTCCTCGATCCTTGGGTTCTCGATCTTTGGCTTTCAGGTGTCAAATGGTTTGTACTTGTAAAAGGAACTCTAATGCCTAAGTTAGCAAGTGTTTGGAGTGATTGAGTGTGTTGTACATGTTACGTACCTTATGAAGGTCTGATGCAATATATTTATATGTAAAAAAATGTCACCATTGAAGATATGGTCGTTAAGTATATTCGTAATAGCTGAAAGTTACTCTTTGTAATGATTGTGACGAGAGTTTGACCTTGGTCAAATTATCTTCCCTTATGCATTTCGGTAGTCTTGATGCTAGTAACTGAATACATATCAAATCTTCCAAGTTCTTTTGTAATTGGGGGCCGACAAGTTATTGGCCTTGAGATCTCTTCGATGCATAAATTGTACAACTCAAACATGTATTCAAAAGTAAATGACACAAAATACCTATCCAGTGGTTAAGTACGTAGATGTATCTAGCATTAGCATGTATTAAAATAAGTTTGTTGAGTGTTACAATAATTATTTTAAAAATTATGTCAATAATAATTTTTTAAGAAAAATTACACTCACATTTTCTGAGATTTGTTTAAATGACTCATATCTCTTCTCTAATTTTAAAAAAACACTTCCCTTATAATAACATCATTAGTTAAAGGGATAGAAGAAGAATAAAAGCCAAAAATATAAAAGTCGATTCATATTTTATCAATCATATATACATTTATTCATCGTTTCTGAATTATGTATAATGTTTTTGTCTTTATTATGAAAATTTTCATTATTCTTCAATTTTGAAAATAATAATTTCTTAGTCTATTCTTTGAAATTGTTCCTTAAAATTGGTATATTTTTAAATCACAACATATATGATATTTATGGTATAATTTAGGGGTTAAAAGTGAGTAAGAGATCAAATCTCATTCAAATGTTAACACTTGCATTAATAATTTGTTTTCTCTTAAAAGTGCATAAATGGTGTTATATTATATAAGGGATTGTATGTGTCAAATAAATAAATAAGGGAGGTTAGTGTTTACTTGAAAACTAAAAGAGAGATGTGTATCATTTAAAAAGACGGAAGTTAGTGTAATTTTTCCTAATTTTTAATTGGTTGACATTGTAAATTTTTATTTTTTGCACTTTTGTAAAAATCAAACTCTTTATTTATAGTAAGAATGACATATGAGAGTATACACAGAATCAGACAATAAATCAAATTTATCTACACTTTGAAAATCAATCTCCCTAAATTAACCAAACCGCTTGCTTGGATGTACAATTACAAGCAAAATGTGCATCCAAGACACTGCTATGCTACATGTCATACGGCACCCTACATCAGAGAAGTCATTGGTATCAACATCAAGATGGAGAAAGATAATGTTTATATCACGATTCTCTGGACTTCCACTCCAAAATTGCTGACAGAAGTGTGTAATTAGGAATTAAGTGCTTATGAGGTAAAGCCATGTTTGTCATTGGTGATTTGTCGTTCTCTTGGAGCCACTTTTCAATTGCTTTACGATCATATGTGTATCCATCCGCAGCAACACAAGGATCATCCATCACATCCTGAATCAAACAAAGTATAGCAAACATCTTCAAGAACATTAACAAGATAGTTGGAAAGTAAAATACAGCTCAAGCCATAATGTTAACTAGTTAATATATATGGACAGAATTTCATTGTTTTTGCCAAGACCAGAATCTAGTGGAGACGGAGAAAAATTATAGGTGAAATCATTCAAGAGAATTTATAGATTAATGGTTTGGTTTGTTATCATACATGATTTACATTAGAACATTATGGCATTGTTTGATCTTGTAGCTGACTTCACCTGGTAGAAAAAGGCTTGGTTGTTATTGTTGTTGTGAAAAGAATAAAAAAACTCTTTACCCAAAAGGATAGATAATCCATTTTTATTATTGTGGCATAGAAAATCAATTTACTGCCACTAAAGAGTATTAAATTACCTGTAGTATTGGACAGATGAAGTGATTAGGAGGTTTGGATTTAATAGTAACAATTGAAGAAGAATGTTGGGCCCTATCAACAACTTCTTTCAATCTCTCTAGTGTTGGAAGCACATGATCTTGTAAATCAGGTCGGTCTCTACGCCGAAGTTCTGCACAGCTCAGTCCTAGCAAAGCCAAGTCTAGTGTCTCTTGAAATGACCAAGACCCTGCCTCTGGATCCAATATATCTGTTAAGTTCCCGCCATCAATTGCTGTTTCAACCTTATGAGCAAGTGCTATTGCTGGTTTTGCTGTCAATAACTGTAAGATCACCATTCCAAAAGCATAAACATCTGATTTTGGAGATATTGACCCAGTCCTTTGGTACTCAGGATCTATGTAGCAGAGTGTCCCAACAGGTCCCGTGTCATTGTACATCGTAGACAAATTATCTGAATGGAGCACTGTAGAAAGGCCAATGTCACCAATCTTGCTGACAAGGTTACGACCAAGCAAGATGTTTGCCGGTTTCAGGTCTCGATGAATGATAGGTTCTGGCTTAGAGCTATGAAGGAAGGCCAGAGCCGATGCGACTTCCCAAGCTATTCGAAACCTCTCAAACCATGGGATTGGAGCAGTGTTGTTTTTTCGTAGTAGACTGTCCTCCAAGTTACCATTCTCCATATATTCATACACCAGGCATCCATGATCAGGACACGCACCAAGAAGAAGAAGCAAGTTTGGATGACGAATTCTGCTCAATATCTCTAACTGGGAGCAAAGAAAAGATATAAATTAGTCCGTTGTCTGGTTCAATTCCAGTCTTATACTCATTATTAGATGTACCTTTTCATTATTATTATTTGAAGTAGTAAAGTTATAGGATGCTAGTGCTGGAATTATGAAAAAACATAAAAACTTACTATGTATGTTGAATTTAGAGTGGGAGATTTAGAGAACAAAAAGTTTTCTTATTCTAGAGAATGTAGTAAATAGGTTCTGCGTATCATCCACATACATGAGTGTGTATATAAACTCTTGCTAGACCTAGTGGAGACTACGCAAGGATTATAATAAGTGATTTAACTTAGTTGACACTAATATCTATGAACACTAAATGCATACAAACATGAGATACATGAAAATAATATTTCCCAAGTACATTAAATACCATTACAACAGCCTCCGATCAACATCTCTGAATTGGTGGGTATCTTGTTAGAAAGAATGAAAGAAAACAATTAATATATAAACCATAAATTTTAGAAGGGAAATATATGTAGAGCAGAATGGTTAATCTTAAGAAAACTATATTGGTTAATTTAACAAGAAACCATCATATTTGAATTAGGATTATAAAACTTTGATATGCCTAGTAGAAAATAAAAACTTTACATTGAAAATGCTAGAAACATCTTCAGCAATAAAGCACTATATACTTCTTCTTTTGTCTTATATTATGGAACATTATTGTGCATATCCATTTTATTCATATAACTTCCATACCTCCTGCTGGAATTGCTTGCTTTCGCAATTTTCATTAGTTTTGAGAACCTTAACAGCAACAGTTGTGTGATACAAACTGCACTTATACACTATTCCATATGCTCCCATTCCAATCTTTAGATCTTCAGAGAATGATGAAGTAGCTGAGACTATTTCATCCCATGTAAACTTCCGGTACTGTGGCATGGAACCACTGAGAGCATCCTCCAGCTTTTCTTTCTCTTTTGCAGCACGAATGGCTTTCAACTCCGTTTCTTTCCTTTCTGCAGCTTCTCTATCAGCACATTCTTTCAAATATTCAGCTTCTCTTGATGCATCTTGATATTTCTCTTTTTCTAGTTTTGCTAATTCTATTGCTTTCTCCTCCTTAGCAATAATCTCCTTCATTTTCATGGTTTCTTCTGTTCGTCTCTTGGTTAGGTCATTCAGCTGTTCAAAGCATAAAGGATGTTACTCTATTTGACAATGCCAGCAAGAGAATTCAATTGCAGGCGTATGGAAGGTGAATTCATCCCCAAGGTGCTATTATATGATAATGTATTTTTATGAGTGCTAAAGGAAAGAAAGAGAACCAAACAATGAATAAACCCGAGACACGACATGGGGCAGGGATTCCTTAAAAAAATTATTGTACTTAATAGATAGCAGAAAGCATTGACAAATAGTAGCTGGGAAGTGTTTCTAGCCATAAGAAAATAGATATTACCTTTCGGGATGCTTCAATTTTCTCACTTTGAGCTACTGCATGCAGTCCTTGGGCAT